GTAATGAACTCAACATAACTAGGTCAGTTGGTTTAAAGTGGGCGGGTCATACTGCAGCTTGCCGGTAAACACTAAATGTAGGTAGACTGTAGTGACCTTCGTCTCAGGAGGTGCAAAATACTGTAAAGGCCTACAATATTTTAATGAAAAATGATGATAGTTGGAGGAATGTATTGCACTTTAGGTGCAATGGAAAAATAAGTGGATCATCAACGGACGAAACATAAGAGTTTAAAGGCAGTGGGGGTTTGTGAGAAATGCTGATATGAGTTGCCATGCGGCTCATAAATGCAAGCAAACCACACGCCACTTGTGCAGACGCACTAGTTTTGCCTGTCTGGACTCATGTGGTCTGGACGGGGTCATTTGACGGGCTGCAAGTCAGAGAGGGCTTTGTCGTGTCAGCCCGTCCGCGAAAAACACCTATGTGAGAGGTAGAGTCCATCTTTTCACTTCCATCCTAGACAAGTTGACTGCGTCGCGCCAGGGTGCATTGTCCGCTGATTGACGATGAAGTATTGCACTTAAGTATACGTGATGGAGTGTTTTATGTCACCTACAGCAGGTGGGCTAACTCATGAAATGTCAACCGAAATTCCGAAATGCGTTTTCGTTCCGAAAAGATTAATTAAGTAGGGTTATAAAACTAATCATCACGCAGCGTAATTCTACAATGATTCAGTTACCTCAGGATGCCAGCTTCCGAACGAACTTCTTTTCGGTTGCATGCAGAAACTATACTGTGTAAAAAAGGCTTCTTTAGTAGCATGCACTTTTCCCATTGATTTTTGGTACACTTCATAATTCGATTATCTTCATAAAAAACATGCACAAAATATTCATTCTTTTGCTAATTTAATAAAAAATTACGTCTTCTTTCGATTTCATACTCAAAAGGGTATAATTCCGTTTTATAAAAGTTTAAAATTGTGAGATTTTTTAATACCGTGAAACGGCCATTCATAAAACGCCGCGTTTCTGCATTTACCAATGTGGTTTATGAACCACATATGGTGTCCACTTAATATTTTAAAGAAATGTATGGTTTTCCGTACGCGGAAAATATGGGGCTCGTGGTTTGAAAACCCTGAATGCAAGTGTAAAGGCAGGTCGGGTTAAAATTATTCGGGAATCGGAAAAGTTTCAGAAAACCGAATTACACCATTCCTTCGAGTATGAAACTGGAAGAAGACGTTGTGTCCTATTGAATAAGCAAACGAATGAATATTTTTATGCATGTTTTCCACGAAGCATAATTGAATGTTTAAGGGCATCGAAAATCAATGAGAAAATGCATGCTAATTAAGAAGTCATTTTTTACAGAGCCCAGTCTTTGCATGCAGCCGGAAAGGAGTTCGTTTGAAAACCCGCATCCTGAGGTAACTGAAGTATTATAGAATTATGTTGTATGGTGATTAGTTTTACAACCCTACTTGATAAATCTTTTCGAAAGGAAAACGCATTTCGGAATTTCGGTTGACATTTCATGAGTTAGCCCACCTACTGTATGACCGATCCCCGTTCTGGTAATTTGTTGACTGGCACGTGCAGAGGTGATACATGCAGTTCTAATAGCACACAATTGTCCTCTAAGTAGCCACTCAAACAAACACCTTTATTCGGTTCGCCAAGCGGTGTCGTAAATGACAATCAAATTTACCCCTCAGAAGTTTGTGGGTGAAAGCAGCAGATATTTTCGTCTCAGCTAACGTACTTCAGTCTGTAAATAGCGTAGCAGATTAGTAAAGCGGAACTTGAATGATTCTATCCCAATCGATGGACCGTGCCCCTCCACTAGCGTCCAGCCCCGCCTGCGGACGAGGCTATGCGCTGGAAAGAACGCTTCATCCACGTCATTCCGCTGACCATCCGACTAGGACACACAAGCCATGCCAACAGACATTTCAGCTGACAGAGACGCACTCAAACGTTTTCTCAAGGAGTAGGTAGTGTGGAACACTTCTAAGAACAGAGGAGTCATCAAGCAAGTAAATGTATACGCGCGACAACCGTCTGGGCAGTTATTTAAAAAGTAAAATGGACTACAAGCGTAGTGATGTCGGGGACACTGCGTCCGGTTTTATAGGGAGATTGTGGGGAACCTAAGGAAGTAGAGAAGAATGGCGTGATGCCAATTCGTCCAGCCACCATCCGATGAGCGGATGAACAACCAACTTTGAGAAAGGGTTTTTAATTAAATTTCTTATATTTTTGAGATGGGAGCGTTTCTGGCAGTACGCTAAAGGGTAGATTGTTTAAAATCCATAAAATACATGTCAATATGATGAGCTAAAACTATGCTTTCAAAGCCGAGCATTACTTGAGGAGATACATTGAGACCATCAATTCCAGCGGTCGTTAAACCACAGACTTTTCGAAAACGCTTCTCCACAGCACTCACAGACAAAGGAGAGAAGACATTCGATAATTATTAAAAGTCGCTTATGAGACGACAGTGCTCGCCGATAAAAACGATAAAACTTTGATTCTATGAGTCCAGTTGTCAGTCAGTATCAGAGTGGTTCGTTGACCAGTACCACGTTAAACTTCCTCAAATGATTGTCAGAAGAACAATAGAAATGAAATAGGGAAAAGGGGACAAGATCTGGTTAACAAACATGTGTGGTTTGACGACGTCCTTTTTAGTAGCATGCTAACTACGTGCATGCCGTCACGCAAGCCTAATTTATAAAACTGTTCCGTTCAGCGCATTTAAAACTCTAAGCAAAGAGAAGAAACATCGAGGAGTTTATTTTTTCTGTCAGATTTAGTTACGAATGGCGGCTTAGAATTGGAATAGATTTTCGTAAGACCCAGTAATATAAAAAGGATCCGAATCTCACGGTCAGACTCTGATGTTTACACGACAAAATCTAGGGTGGTTGGTTAGAGCGTAGTTAAGAAAGGCGACGGTGCAAGTGTTTAACGAACCTAGGTCCTCGCAGCCTAAGATAATAAGGGAGACCTGAAGTGGCGTGAATAAAATAGCCACTTAAAGACGAAACTTTTCATAGGGCAGTTAAAACGTTTTGTTAATGAAAGTTAAAAAGCCGAGAAAAGCATTCTCACAAATCAAGGTGAGATTATACTAGCAGACATAATGATTTCAAAATTATTTAACAAAGGGGACTTTTAGTCGGCCGCATCATTAGAGCTCACGGTTTTTACACCCATTTTGATTGGAGGAAATTGCCAGCTATCGAAGTTCTTGATTAGTTCGAACGCAGCGGAAGGGTGAAGGCGGAGGTGATTATGAATCGACAGTTTCGTTCAATTATGTCTCGCGAGGAATGTGAACAATACCGAAAAATACGGAGAGCGGCCTGCTCATGCTTTTCTGATAGATTATTTCAGACGTGGCCACGTTAACGCGAAGTCATTTGATACTGTGACCACCGTGCTTTTTAATAGACCTACTCAAAAGTGCAGTATTTTGACAAAAATCAATCTATCGACCTCTTAAAAACGTATTTTACCTAAAGGTGTGCTTTTCGATAAATGTACTCCACTCCTTTATAAGTTTACTTAAGTGTCATTTTGGGTAAGGAGACCACAGACGACTCAGCTGATAAACGGGAAGGATGCACCTAGACCCAGCCCGTACCAAGTAGCCGGTGGTTTGCAGTTGGATGTATGGAACATAATTAAATAGACTGCTAAAACGGGAGTCTTTTTAATTCATTTCTAGGTGGAAGTTGGAGAGCATTACCAAGATTGGTTTAAACAAACAGATTGAAGTAACCTAGACCAAGGTGCAGTTTAAGCCCTTATTTCTGAACATGCCTCAAACCGGTTTTGGCTGCGGACAGGAGTATCGCAACTAGAGCAGATCAAATGGGAGATTCAGGCGAACGGTGGTGTGTGCTCGTTCCCCGGCAAAAGTTTCCTGCCTAACCGGCAGTTTATTTTGTAGCAAAGAAAACAAGATTTCATCATGCAAGAAAGGAATACGATTTAATTCAAGAAGCCGTCAAATCTGGCCGCACTAGCTGGATGCAAAGCATTTTCTGCGACACAGAGTGTTAACTGTACGACTACGTCTCACAGGAAATTTCTCCCCCCACGTAATGACCTCAATCGTTTTTTTATTGTGTGAGTCTCTACAGTTGGCATCCCTCCACAGCATTCCAGAAGGATGCTTAGGAAATGACTGACTGCCCGGTAGTTCGTCTGGCTTAAGCGACGGAGTCCAACACTGCTCCGCTAGATGAATCCCGTGGTGACTAACAATTTAGTCTTTCATAATGAAGCAGACAGGCGCGACATCTATCTCACTCTCCAGATACACATCCTTCCTATTTAAAGGACAAGGCAAAATCAAGACAATAAGGTTTGAACGTGAGTGCAGTGACTGGCAGGACCAAATGTCTTTCAACGCGTGCCACACACGTGCTGGCATCTAAATCCAAGCCGATTGGTCCTGACTGAGGAGGCTCCGGATCTCGCTCAAGTGCGGATGCCATAAAACCGCATTATGAAGGATTAATTGTGCAGAGGAGTGCATTGCTATCCCCTCAGCTGACAGCTTCTCAAGCCAAGACTGTTTGCCCGCCATATTCGCAATCGTTGGAAGGGCGCTGGATTGCTCTAAGGAAGGGCACCTTGGGACGTACTTCACTCGTTCTTTGATCTCACATGCCCACGTGTCGCAACCTATTACCAAACTTTTGGTGAATTTGGGCGCAATGGCAAGGCGTACCACGCGCACGCACCACGATAGTCATTGACTCACTCATAAACCGCGCGGCAACAGCTGACATGTTTAAGAAGGAAAGGGAGGGAAGCCAACAACCCCACGAATGGCAAAGTACCTAAGGCATCTGCAGTGGGTGAACAGACTTCCGGCTTCTCCTTCAGCTCTGGCTTCATTACCAGAAGCACAAACAGATTTATAACAATCAGTGACGCCACTAAGCAGTCAGACGGTGAAGGAGGCATCTTGAAGACCTCAGACTGGCAACATGTGCAGACATTTCCACTTTGAATGTTCTTTGCTTGACCTATTCCAGCATCTGGGTACAGAGAAACTTTCGCCCAGATATCGTGGCACCCTTCCTATCATCTGATGTATTGTCAGTGAAACTGAGAGTGAAAGATTTCGGCATGCCCTCGGCGGGTGCCGGACCGGTGACGTAGGTCGGATGAGGTGGCTGTGCTTGAGGCGGTGGCAGTGGTTGGGTGTGGGGAAGCGGAGGGTACCAGCGTGGAACCACGGGGGGCTGTTGCATAGGCGGTGGCACTGAGGGCGGTGGTCTGAAATAGCCCACTGACGCAAATGGTGGAAACGGAGATGGAAAGGTTACGAAGGGAGGGAAAGATGACCGAGTAGGATGGGGAGGAGGACAAGACGGAACTGGGGATGCTGCAGGTGGTGATGCATACCTTCTATCGGTTTGGTCTCTATTTTTCCTTCCCTTGCTGACAATGGAGTACGAATTGGGAACTTTCAGGCACAGCTCACTCTCCTCCTCACATTCATCCAGCAGGTCTAGGAGGCGCGCAAGTTTTCTACAGGCTTTACCACTAGTTCCTGGAACAGCACTCTTTTGTCGTCTGCTAGTCCGCTCTGTAGCAGCTGTTCCTGAATGCCTAGTAAATGGTTGCATGCGCGTCCCCATCTTGTCATCACAGTTGGCAGTTTTCGTTCGCCGGTTCACATGACCACTGGCAAAGCTCTCTTCAGTGGGGTCACTGCTGTCGTACTCATCGTCCTCTTCCTCCATTTCCGAGGCAGAAAATGAACTCCACTCGCATGCGGTTCTGGGGTTGGGCAACTTCCCCCTCGATGGCGTGTCTCCCATGTTCGTTATTGGTTGCGGTGGCCCACATGTTCGTTCGGGCTCGGCTGGTTTAACCTGTGTCTTCTCGTTCTGTAGGGCCGAAAGGCTGTTACGAATATCGTTCAGTGCAGTCATGACTTCAGTGAGATTGGACACTTCAGTAGGATGAGCATTAACGGGTTTTTCTTTCTGTACGCTCTGTACACTGTCCCTAATTTCCTCAAGAATTTCCAGAAGGAATGGATCCGTACCGGATATGGAAGAATGCATGCCACTGGCGTCTGACTTCGTCGTGCAGGAGCAGCTCGGCAAACTGTGTTTCAGCAATTCCTCGCTGATGAGCGTCATGCTCGCTCGGATCTCTTCCAGTGTCTTCAGATAGAGCGGATCGGGAGTTGCTATGACTTGTGTTGACTGGTCGCAAGTTTTAGCGCTCTGATTGGTATTTGTTTCAAGTCCAGGATTGTCTTCCAACGGTGAACACGCAGTGTCACTTTGGGTTTTTAAGTTTGGCGCAGGTTTCTCGTCAGGGACGGTGAGGCACCGCTGGATGCACTCATCTCTCCTGGGGTCCTCACACTGAACACCGGTGGATACTTGTTTTACCCTGGTAGGTATCTGTTTGGTCCTCTGTGACACTAATTCCTTTGTTGGCGTTGTGAGTCCACTGTGACTGAAACACGATCTCATAATGTCTTCATAAAGTCTCCTCTTCAAGTCTTTCAATTCTGCAGCTGGTTCAATCATCGCCTTATCACTGGGTACTTCTGTTTGACTTGAACTCTCCAAGCAGTCAACTTGACGGTGCCTGAGATGCATGTCACTCGCAAGCTCCTTTAGTTTTGCCTTAAGATCTGCCAACGTATGAAGCAGGGTGGCCTCAAAAATGGGTTCGAGTCCCAGTGGGCTACCAGTGAATTCCTCCCGGCTACGAGATATGCCATCCAGATTCGCATGTAGGCCGCGCAGCTGTGCTTTTAAATCCTTCAGTGTTCGAAGCACAACATCTTGGCTTTTGTTTCTGGTCGACTCTGTCGACTTCGGCACGGCTCTCGATGGTGGACCGTCCACCAAGCGCAGGGTGTCCTCCACACTCAGAGATTCGAGACTTGGAAGCATGGGAGGTTCGACTAGGGACTTCTGTTCTTGCTTAAACTTCTGCACTTCAGCAGTCAGATTTTGCACGTAAACCTTCAAATCCTGCAACACTTGGATTGCTGTGGTTTGTGACGCTGTCCCAAGCTCCTCTTGGTTCTTTTCACAACGAAAGTCGTAAGAACCATTAGTTCGAATACCGGGATCACAGAACACTGCAGACGAAGTCGGAAGGGAAAAATGTCGCTTAATCTTCCCACAGTTGTATTCGGATTGGCCTTGTGATACTGCAGGACCGCCAGGTATAGTTTGCTTGACTGCTCCACGGATTCCGTCTGGAGACTTCCCAGGGGGTAGGGCAAATCTCTGCTTAACATCACTGAGATCCTTCATAATGTTGAGAGTCCTAAAGTCCTCGCAATTCTGGGGCTCCGTCGTGGCCGTCTGTAGGCAATTTTGCTCCTGTTTTAAAGCATGCTGCGAAACACAAGGATGTTGCTTTTCCCTTATTTCCTCCCGACTTTCCTCTTCATCTCGAACTTGAAGTCGTACAGAGTGGTTTTCAATCTCCAGACTTGCTGGTTTAGACTTATGAAGCATCGTCTCACTGCCTACATTCTCGCTACTAATTTTATCAGTCAGGCGTTTTATATTCCGTCGCACGTTACGCATTTCTGTTTCGGCTGAAGAGAATGCGAAATGCTGGCCCGGATCTTCGAGGAGTGTTGGTGTTGTGGAGGAACTGCTGACGGTTGTTGAAGTAGTCTTCTTCTGTAATTTCGGCGACTTTTCTGCGTCCGTCATCCCACCAAAAGGGTCCGACGCACAACCCTGACTCACGGCGAGCAGGTTGGAATTCTCCAGTTCGCTTGCATAGAGCGTGCCCGTGGATGCGAAGTCGTTCTCTTCCCTGGACGGAAATGCAGCATCTGCCTTATTACGCTTCTTAGACTTTTCTGTGAAACGTCGCAGACTTCGCGGTTTCCTAAACAATTTCCCGAAAGGTACCTTGAGAAAGCCCGTGCGTCCTCCATCTCGCTTACCGCTCTTGACAGGATTGTCAGAAAGATTGGAAGCCGAACTGAACCAACCCTCAGAGACTGCTGAACTCGTTGTCGTCTCCACGGGTCGCACGGCGAAGTCAGAACTGCTCACACTTGCGTCTTTTTCCATGCGGCTGTGTGTCACTTCCTGGTCAAAGTTGTAGAACGGCGACATCACGTAACCCTCAATAAGGGTCCGAGCCAGGGGGGAGGCAGACACCTTTGTTGCGTCGTTTGAGTTCAGTGTTTGGAGAGGGATGTTTCTTTGGGGGTGCTGCTGCCGCCGCCGAAAGCTTACTAGGGGATCAAGACTCTTATCCTCCCCTCTCTAGTTGCTATGCCTAGTGAACCACGTGTGGCTGGCGATTCACTATCGATTAGTTGTTTAAGTGTCGCAGTGATCCACCTTAAACGCTGGACTCCATGATAAGATGTGACAGACCAGAGATTTTATAGGGTTGATTGAGTGAGGTGAACCCTTTTTAGCGCGGATCCAAGATGGAGGTGGCATAACCGCAAGTCGGTGAAAATAACCGGCGTCCTGTCCTCACCTCCCCGAGGACACCCTTCCAGCAACTACCGCTGTTACCATAGCGTTGGTCCTGCTCAACGCCGGCACTTTCCACGGCTCCACCTCGCAAGTGCCGGAAGCGCTGCAATCCCCGTCGGTTGTCCGGCTGGCATGTTGGCGCCACCTCTCCATCCGGACGGGTCATCCCTCCTGTGGAGGTTCTCATCTGCTCTTGTATCATTTACAATCTTCCTATGTACTAAACTCCCCGTCTCTAACATATATATCTCTCTCATCGTTTAGCTTTTCCTATTCCTTATTTGAATGAGAACGAAGATACGTTTAACAACTTTTTTCGTCCCGATGGCAGTCAGGGATTATCTCCCTTGCTCTTCGTTGCCCCATGCGTGCATCTGTTAACGACTTTGGCCGCTACACCGGTTCAGCAGGACTTTGTGAACGAGTTCCGCAGAGGACCACTGCAACAGAGGCAGGTGGAAGACGCATATTACTTTTAGCCAGAAGGGTACCTACAAAACATCTTCCTTGGCCTTTTTATTCACAGTATTTTTATCAGTAGTATTTTATGAGACAACAAGTAATTCCCCTATAAGTGGCACAATGGAGCCGGTTGGCTGCGGAACAAGGTTATATTGCAAGAAAGGAAAAAAGACGGCTGATAGTGAGGCAGGAAACGAGTATCCCCCCCTATCTCTCTCTGTCCCTCTGCCTTGGACACGAAAGAGGTGCTACCGGATACATATCGATATCCTGGCTAGACGCTGGTAGAATGCTGAACTAGATTACATGAAAGCTTGCTTTTGTGATTTATAAAAACACGTGGGCAGGTACAGTAGATGTGTTATCTCACGAAATGTTAACCGAAATTGTGAAATGCATTTTCAATTCGCAAAGACTACTAAATTGGGGTTGTCTTGTTAATTATCGTGTCACATAACACAAGATATTCCCTTAACGACAGTATTCCGGCTTCCGAACGAAATCCTTATCAACAGCCTGCGTAATTTACATTGTGTGAAAAATGGCTACTTAAATGGTACGAATATTCTTCACTGATTTTTTGATGCCCGTATAAGTCCAAATATGCTTTATAGAAGGCACGCACAAAAATGTTATTTCGTTTATTCACCCGTATCAAATTACGTCTTCGAATTTTATTCTTAAAAAGGATATCTTTCGGTTTTAGATATCTTCTAATTAGGAGATTTTTCAAGACTGAAACCTTCAGTCATACAGCATCACAGCAGCGTATTTTTTGATGTCGCTTCTAGGGTCTACACCCACTACGACACTTCATGAGCCCTTTAAATTTTATGCACAATAGCATATGTAAATGTGTGTTCGTTCTCGCACGAGAAATATACAGCTTGTGGTTCGGAAACCCCGAATGCAAGTCTAACGGCAGGTCGGGTTCAAAACTACTCGGAAGTTGGGCAAGTTTTTGAAGCCAAAAATACTTTTTGAAGCAGAAATGTTAAGAAGACCCAACCTGCTACCAAATGAATGAAATAATTTTCTTTTGCATGTTTTCTACAAAACATTTTTGAATCTATAATGACATCAAAAATCAGTGGAAAAAAATTATGCTTCTTAAGTAGTCATTTTATACAGAGTGTAGACTATGCCAGCAATTGATAAGATTGTGCAATGATTTACCGTATTAACGATACAGGTATTAGCTAAAAGCCCAGACACGCGTGTTTCGCCGATCTTATGCCGCTGTCTGACGCAGCTGCGAGGGGTTCGGCTCATCAGTTGGTCTCCCAGCTTTCCCCGTGCGTTTTCTGGTATATATTGATAAGATACTAATTCGAAAGTCGGCATCTCCGCGTGACTGGAATATCTTAAGACTTGACGAAATGATAATTGGTGCGACAGTCCTATTTAAGTGCCCTTGTCGAATTAAAACACAGAACAGAATTTCAGCCACCATTTCATGAGATAGCAGGGCAAGTAGATAAGACAATTAAGTACTTCCACAAGTTTCAGACATCAGGAAAATGCTCAGTGTACGATGTGCCTAATTTATTATCCCCAATTCGACCTTAATGAACGACGAGGCCCGCTGTGTTTTCCACAGTATAATGGGTGCAGGGTGGCGACTTGCTCGTGAATTAGTTGGCAGGTATAGCAGACTTTCACAGCATCTGTCGCTCTCTATTCTCCTTCACTCCGATCCCTTTGGCAGGATAGAGTCAGAAGGATCGGAAGCGGGATCGGGCACGCTTGGACGAGGTTGTCCCAGCGACAAAAGTGGGGCGATTCTGATCCCGACCGAGCGACAGTGCCACAGAGGCTGCATTGGGCAGGAGTCATTATAACCTCACTCCCGTCCTGAGAGGCGGCTCGAATTATTCCCGTCAGTTGACAGTCTCCTAACTCACAGTATTATTTAGCCCACCACAATAGTTTAAAGATAGTTCAAGTTGTTTATGGTGGGGAGCATACGCTGAAGGGCTATGAGACGGAGTCCTCAGAGGCCACCTCACCTTCTCTTCTCTCCCCCGGTCCGCTATTCGAGCCAGTCAGCTATCTGCTTGGGCGGAAGTAACTCGAAAGAATGGCAATCCAGTCAGGTTGGAAATTAGCTGGAACGTACGCCGGTTGAGTTGCCGTAAGGCAGAGGAGTGTCTGCCAGATTGCTTTATGAAAAATCTCGTAGGAGTGAAACAGTCTTATGTTCGAATCCTAAAGGTATCGTTGCAGTTCATCGCTTATTCAGAGTCCGTAAGTGGAATTTAAATTCTTTTTAATACGGAATAGTTTACCGCAGATGTGCTATCTCAGGAAGTGCTAAACGAAATTCTGAAATCAGTTATCGACTCGAGAAGGTTGCCTAAGTGAAGATGTAATTACCGTAAGGCATGATCCCGAGATGTGTCAGCCATGTCGGGATGCCGGCTTTTGAATGAGCGTCTTTCCGGCAGTCCGCATAATTTACATCCTATAAAAAACGACTGCCTACGTAATATGACTTTTTTCTCATTGAATCCTGACGACATTATAAATTGAAATATATTTTGTAGAAGACATACACAAACATATCCGTTTATTTACTTATTTGGAAGAACAGTAAAATCCGCTTTAAAAGAATTTTCTCCATCCCGGAATGATAGTGAAACCGACCGCCATTACACATGCATTCGGAGCTTCAAAGCAACGAGCTGTATATTTTTCGTGTAAGGAAAATCATTCATTTCTATAGTTTTTAGGAAGAAGTCATATTGGATTCATAGCATTTTGCGTGAATTTAAATCTGCAGGTTTGCACAGCCCCACTTTCAAGTGGCAAGATAAAATCGGCACAACCGGAGATGGACGTGGACACAGTGGCTGACAAAACTGTACAACCTTCTACGCGTGCCACGCCCGCGCTAGTGTCCAGCCTCAAACGAACCGCATTTAAAGTAAGGAACGTCGGACCCTGCTCAAGTAGAAGTGCCACAAAGGCCAAAAGAAAGAGAACCCATTGCAAAGATGGGGTTATGGTGCAGCCCCGTCAATTGCAATCAACCAAGCCAAGCGTGGCTTCATGCCCTATTTATTATAATGAGGAAGGGTAGGTCGGGATGGGCGTCACTCTGTCTTCAGCCTCCTATGCACCAGTGAATTCTCCACGACTATCGACCGATTATTAATGAGATAAGTTGAAACGGCTGTTGTGATCTAAAGCCGTCCCTCTCTCATGTCGTGCTCTCAAAGATGTGATGACTGCCTTCCATTATCAACGTTCCCAGGCTCTCCTGTAGGGTTGACCCTTATATGCATGCATCTAAGTTCTTTGCGGGAACCTAATGTACGCACGGGGATTGCGTGATGTTTTAGGGATTGCCATCGGGTATGCACACATGACCCAATATACTCATATACAGTAAGTGGGCTAGCTCATGAAATGTTAACCGAAATTCCGAAATGCGTTTTCGTTTGGAAAAGACTAGTTAAGTAAGGTTGTAAAAATAATCATCGTGCAGCATAATTCTATAATGATTCAGTTACCTCAGGATGCCGGCTGTCGAAGGAACCTCTCTTTGCCTGCATTTTAAAAACATACTCTGTAAAAAGGACTACTTAATTAGCATGCATTCTTCTCATTGATTTTCGGTGTCCTTAAAGATTCAATTATATTTCATAAAAAACATGCAGATAAATATTTATTCTTTTGTTTATACGGTAGAAGATTACATATTCTTTCCGTTTCATACTCGAAGGAATGGTAAAATTCGGTTTTCAAAAATGCTTCCGATTCCCGAATAATTTTAACTCGACCAGCCGTTACACTTGCAGTCAGGTTTTTCAAACTACAAGCCGCATATTTTCCGCCTACGGAAAACTACACATTTATCTACGGTATTAGAAGGAGACCATATGGGGTTCATAACATTTAGCGGTGGATTTGAGCCATATTGTTTACTTTACAAGCCACATTAGTAAATGCAGAGACATGACGTTTTATGAAGGGTTATTTCATGGTTCAAAAAATCCCACAATTAGAAACTTTTTAAAAGCCGAGCTATATCCTTCCTTCGGGTATGCAACTGGAAGAAGACATAATTTCCTACCGAATCAACATAAGAATAAATATTTTTCTACATGTTTTCCATGAAATATAGTTGAATCTCCAAGGGCATCGAAAATCAATGAGAAATATGCGTGCTACTTAGGTAGTCATTTTTTACAGAGTATAGTTTTTGCCTGCAGCCGGCAAGAATTTCGTTCGAAAGCCGGCATCCTGAGATAACTGACTTGTTTTAGAATTACGCTTCACAATGCTTAGTTTTACAACCCTACTTCATCAATCTTTTCGAAACCAGTACGCATTTCAGAATTTCGGTTAACATATCATGAGTTAGCACACCTACTGTATTAGGTGAATTTGAGAGTACAGTGTGCGGTGGATGCATGGTGTATGCTCACTGGGGCTGTAGACAGTGGTTCTCTACACAGGTTGTGATGCACTCGCGGGTGTCTGATCAGGCCGATGTGAGGATGCAATGCGTGGTCACAAGAGGGCATAGAATAGGCACTAATTTTGACTGCAGCATCTGTGCCACAGTGGGAACTTGGTGCGGTGATCACGATTTTGTCCGGCTAGGACGGACGGAAATGAGATAAGGAAGGGGAGAAGGAGTGGAAGGCGTCTCCTCAGTTATAATGCTACTTTACTGTGTGGGCCGTTTCTGTTGGCACAGTGATGAATTCGAATGCAGCCCACAAGAGCAATATGAACCCTAAGCACGAGCAATAAAAGTGAGAAAATAATGGCTAGGAATGGGCGTTGGGTACATTTCCGTTTTGCATGTTAATCATTTCGCCTTGGCCTTGCCTATTCAGCTTTTACTGCCGGTCAACATGGTAGTTGGTTGTGCGCAGGTGATTGTCAGGCCTTCCGATTATTTCGAAAGCTCTCGAGGTGCACCGTCTAAGAGAAGAGAGTGTGTACTCTGAGCGTCACAATCACCAGGCCAAATTCCGTTTTGTAGAAGGAGACAGAGGTCACCAGATTGAGGGGTTGATTGTACACAGAACCCCAAGTTCTTACCCCAACGGACGGCAGTGGGCGGTGGGGAAGCCGGGGCCGGCATTACCTGCTTCTAGCCATGCCTGAGAGTCCTTGAAACAGTGGTAGCAGCTACTTCTGCATGTTTGTGGGACAGTCTGAAGTGGTGTCCAATCGGTGTGTTGATTTGCTGACTGTAGACGCACATGCGTCCGAGATTAAATCAATCGTGCGCCTGGAGCCGCTTGCCACGAGGGTGAATAACCTGAACGCGACGAGGTTCTGAACAAAGACGCCAGACATGGCCACACTGACTGTCGACAACAGTGGGAGATCTCCAATGCATCCTCGCAGAGTCGTTTTTCCACCTTGCCTGTGAATATCGGCATCGATGTCCCCTTAAAATAGTCATCTCGACATGTACACGGCGGTCTCCTTCATGATGTGACTGCTCCGCCGTAATTGAAGCTGCTTCAGCAAGGCACTCATGCACAGCGTGTCTACCGACCTTAGGACCTTAGGACTTCATTTCCGAGAATTCATCCGTCATATTCTTCGAAGATGGTTTACGTGGAAGTGAATTAGCTTCGTCGACTAGCTTTGCTATATTATGCAGGTACTTGTACCGTAGAAGAGCATTACCAGCATTGTAGCCCTGAAAGTCGTTAGTTTCGCGCTGAGATGCATGTCGCAAGGATTCCAGACTGAGTGTTGAAGCCTACCGAAGACCCAGTTGGCTTTAGAGGCCGGGGCTGTAATCTTCTCGTCGAGATTGGTGTTATGTAAGGCAGTGTTGCCCAGGTACGATAGTTGGGTTGGAGATTTGCGTCAGTTGATGTACGATGACGCCGTTAAGTGTGTTGACTGTCATTCTGACGTTGGCACATCCAGAGGTAAAAATGTTCCAGAATTCAGTGTATGTTCGCCCCGGTTGTGGTGTTCAGTTTACAGTTGTCAGCGAAGGGGGCACGAAGATTTTTTTTGGATTATCTGCGTTTGGTGGATGTCTACTAGTCTTCCATCGGTTGGAGAGTTTATATCGAGACCTGGTGTATCCTCCCGGTAGACATCTGTCTGCATTGAGAGGAAATTGATGTTGAGGAGGATTGTGGCGAGGCCGGTACCGTCACAAGTCCAGCATGCCATCATAAAGCTGCCAGAATACCAGGCTAGACGTTCGGGACATCAGGATTTCCCAATTTCTTTCCAGAGCTCATCTGGATGCATGCTGTTGGAGGTCTTGTGAGGTCAATGGAGATGGCAGGGAAGCTGCTGTTCGCTTCTTAGCACTTTTTCTTGCAGTTACTGAGACAGGAAAATCATATCAGCAGTACCTGCTCTGGGTGTAAATTTTGGTGATTAAGTTGTACTGGGGCAAATACTCGGCCAATAGTGCGAATAAAAGAAATACTGCGGTTGTTGTAAATTCGCCGATATCCAAACGGCGCTTACGCCCCCCCCCCCCGAAAGCTAGCGAAAAGTTGTCTGGGAAGCTAGGTTCAGTCTACTTATGAGTTGAAGGTGGCGCTGTTTGTAACTGCCAACCAGAACCGAGTCGCCTCACAGAGTTCTTCTCCCCCCCGGGCGCATGAAGCCCTGCTTCGACAGGGACAGTGGGAGATCGAGGTCTGTGTTTGTTTCCACATGATAATTCCCCAAGAAATTGTAGACGGATGGCTGAGGACGTCTCGGAAGTGCCCGACTAATACTCTAGGATCTGCTGTCTCTCCGTCGGTAGGGTCGTTTCATTTGAGTTGAGCTGCTGCGCGAATCAGGTGGGCTGAAGACCACTGACTACCCTAACAGCCTCAAAGAAATTCTTCACTTCATCTACACCTCCGTGTCCATGGGTCTTGTGCGCTTTAAAAGTCAGCCATCTGTTGTACGTATCCCGCGGCCTCTGTTGCAGTTGGCGGTGGTATTGGAAAAGCGCGGTCTTATTTAGGATAGTTAACGTTGATTTTTCAGATATCAGTCGCTGTGTTTCGTCATAGCTGCCACTGAAACAGTCCTGACATTTTTAGCCTGCAGGTCCAAGGACTCAGGTTGCAGTGGCGATTCTGCAGTCTTTTCTCTTCATCCTCCGGAGTTTAAAAGTAGTCCAGATTGAAAATTATTTTTTTCTGCAATCATCTAGTTTTAGCACGAAAGTGCTTGCTTTTCTAGTACGTTTTTACCTTCGCAACATCCACTCGGCATGCCCAATTTGCTGCAGCTACGACGGTAGTAATGGGGCTAAGGGTCATGCGAGCCCGCCGGTGATCGGCCGGACTAATTAGCAGCAAACGGCAGGTCGAAAGTCGGGAGTCAAGCCCGGTCATAGTACGAGACGAATGACGAGGCTAAATAAGTCGAGGTCAACAAGACTAATCACCACATTAATCTGATGATGAAAAGGCGAAAGCTTTCATAACGTCAGTCCGAATACAAGTCGGTTCCTAAAATCTCCTCCTCCTCCTCCTCCTCCTCCTCCTCCTCCTCCTCCTCCTCCTTCTCCTCTTCTTCGTCCCCTTCTTCCGCTTTCCTTTCTTTGTTTTCTCCGGGGAAAAGAAACGTGAGGTATGTATGTATAAATTCCTATTAGAAAGGTGAAGTTCTTTGGGAAACAGCAAAAGTTTATTGTGAATTTTCGAGACTGGTTCCCCAGCTCGTCTTCAGACAACGGGTGTGCAAAAACAATTAACTTTTAGACTGAGTCTATGTATTGTCATACGCACTCCTCGTTCACAATTTGTGGAGAATAAGTGAGAATTTGATGTCACTTTTCACCTGGAAGCCAAAACAACTGCTCTTTCGAACAACGTCTGACTTACTTTCAGAAGTATTGCTGGGTAATTTACGTAGTTCCTCGGACTGGAAAAATTTATAAGGGGTTTGGTCAGTGTTGTGGTCGTTTTTAGGGATCCTGCGCGCCGGGGCATTTTCGCGTTTCAACATAAAATACCTTCTTGAAGGACTAATGGATCAACTATGTTATGATCACATTAATGATCCAACTACGGCTCTAAGATCAAGAAAAGCCTATAATTGTGCTTCATGGCTAACTTGTGAGACTGTGGTATAGTTAATTTGCCGCAACTACAACGGTAGCGACGAGGCCAAAGGTCACGCGAGCCCGCCAGCGATCGACCGAATTTTGAACTGTGGACCACCGTACTTGTAGACTTCGGCTGGAGTCGCGTCTGCCTCGGCGCTTTTCCACTGTACAACCGTCGCAGAGTTCTGACTGTTTCAGAGAGAGACGGTTTAAGATAGTGGACTTCGTTTATATCCACCTGGGAAAATCAGTTGGTGCCTTCGCTGAATATTGTCGAGGGATGGTTTAGGACACCCTGGAAGTGCGCAATCTAACGCTCCAGAATGAGCGACTTCCTCGTCAGGATGGTTGTTTCCTCTAGAATCAGCAGTTGCGCAGACCCCTTGGATTGTGAACTGTATACTGCTCCGATGGCAACGAAGTCATTTCTCATTTAATTACGGTCGGCATATCCCCGGATCCCCTCAGTTTCGGGAGTCAACAAGTCGTTCTGCATCTCCCTCAACCTCTGGTATACTAACCGTCGGAAGTGTGTAACTTTGCGGAGAATGAGACGCGATCGCTGGAACAAGTGCTTTATTAGTCTGACGTTTCGGATTCACACTCATCAGAGACAGAGTTAGATAAGGGTAGTGGATTGCTCGGGTGTTGCAATATTTATAGGATGCAGTTTCTAGGTCGCTACATGCCTATCACAGTTGACAACTCCCGAGTGCATCACAGCTTGACTGGCCAGCTGTTGAAGTGTGCCGTTACCATGCAGTTGCTATGCGCCTGTATGCTGGTCAAGATTATCGGCTCCCACACTCATCGCATGCCTCCGAATGGCTAACTACCGGATTTCGTCATCCGTGGGTAACTTTATGTACGTTGCTTCTGGTTGTAGTGTAGGTCGAGTAGTTTGTCTCACTGAGAGAGGAGTATGGATTTCTTCACCAAAGCCATTGAATCTCAGTCCTGGTGGTGACGACATTCGCGGCCAAGGGCTTCCATTGGGATGACCTGAATGGCATCCCGTAGCTCCCTCTGCTGGGAGTTGACATTGGTATTTGCCTCCATGGTCTTAATTTCTTGCAGTTTGGGTAACTTGCCTTGGAGATGACAAGGCGGTGGTCTGTCCGGCAGACGGCACCAGATGTTGCGAAGAAGGAGACAAAATCGCTGGGGCAAGAGCTTTACTAGCATGACGTTTCGGATTCCTGCCCGAACCCGTCATCAGAGACAGAAGCAGATAAGGGTGTTTCATGCATAAAGGGCTGCAGTATTTATAGGATGCAGTAGCCATGCTACCGCATACCTCTAAATAATCACGGCCCCCGTCCCCTTCATTAGGGATCGTTGCACGTGGTGTGATGGCCGACATTCGCGTCGTTAATTGCTGCAGTTTCCTCACGTGCGTTGGATGTTGGTGTGATGATTGCTCAACCAACTGACGCGGTGACCCCGGTGTTGGGAAAAGTGTTCACCTGTGCGCTCCCTGCGTGGTTAATTACTCCGCCCAGGCGAAGTCTCAGCACCGAGTATGGAATGGGAAGATCATTGTACTTGTTAATAGACTGGGGGCCAGTAAACCATGACTCAAGCAGCTCCCGGCTCACGCGGTTGTCACCTCTTGCGAGAATTTCGGACTCGTCAAATTTGAATGCGTGGCCGGATCCCCACGAATGAGCCGCAACCAGACGTTGCCCTGATCACGAGCACGTCACGTTGGTCACGCGTCGAAAGTAAGAGGTAGTTCAGCGGATGCATGTGAAGTGAGCGAGGGTGCACCCATATCGACTTCTCCCACATCGGAAGACAAAGAAGGTGTCGGTCCGGACATGCGCGACCGAGAACGTCAGAAACGACGGAGTGGACACGTTCCGCAGTGTGCATCGCCGTGTCCCCACGGTGGCGTTATCGCTTGCAGTCAGAAAAAACCTCCAGTCTTCGGGTCAGTTGACTGAGGAAATCAAAACGGTGAACAGGCAAATTCCACAGAACGGTATCTTACTTACCTGGTGACCGCCTACATTATGGATTCCTGCGGGGTTGCAGTTGAAGCCTCATCTTAGAGATTTCGAGATGGTGATACGTCCAGCCACCGACGTCGCAGATCACATTGGTCACCGGGACGTCCTACCGATCCCGCATCCGTGTTGACTTCTCGCCCGTTGGAAGGCGGAAGCAGGTGCCGGTCAGGAGGAGACAGCGTTTTGCGCAGGTACGCAGAAGGAGGAGGTCATTGTCGTTGTAGTCGCCGAACCCACAGAGATCCAGCATTACCTCTCAGTGAGCGTTGTCTCTCCTGACGCGGAAGGTACAGTCACCAAGGACAACTGTCTTTTCAGCCTTCGGCACGGTCGACAGGAATGCGTGTAGGTTCTCGTAGAGTTTATTCTCGGCTTCGTCCGATTTGATGGTGAATTTGTTTCCCCAAACGGTCAGGTGTAGAGTCATGAGTCGGTTGCTGATGTCCGGGCGGTCGTCTCACGATGTCCTTCCGGATGTCAAGGGCGACGCGAGTGACGCGTTGTTCTGCCAATCGGCATCCGCTCAAAAAGAAGGTACAGCCAGCACCCACCTGCTCCAGTTGTCCTTGTCCAGAGAGGCGGGTCTTGCTGAGGGCAACGATGTCCATATCCTGGCGCGACCAATCAGCACCGCTCTTCTTTCCTGTGCATTACTTCGCGGATTGTTCAAGAGGGAACGAACGATCCAGACTACCAGTGTGTCCATAGCCATCCGAACACCCCATGTGGTGGAATGGAGGGGAGGGGAGGAGGGTTTTTGTTCTTCTTTATTAGATTTCGACTGCGACTTTATTCCTACGGGCCAAGATCTGCGTGCAGATGGCGTGATATTCCAGAATTTCTTTGGCATACATTTCCTAGACCGTTCCCCAGCGAGAAGGTGAGCAGTGTTAACCCTAAATAGGTCTGCTTGGACATCCCAGACGGTTTTCGAACTCCATTATGGGTCACGATTTGGTTTTGTGAGAAAGTGACCCGAGTTCGTCTGGGCCACGTACTCAATTGCATGTTGTCCTCTCCGTTTGATTAGGGGAATTGAAGGGAGGAGCGAACTGGGGGGGGGGGAGGAGTGGAGTGAAGGGAAGGGGAGAAGCGAGATTCCAGCATGTGTGAATACACAACCGTGGACACAATGATCCTTCAGGCTTCTTAATGTTGAACAGAAATCGTGCCGCCTAAATAGCATAAGCGTCCTCTTGAGTCGGTACGTAACGATAACAAATTGTACTAATTGAAATCCATATGTTAATAACCGGTGTGCACGCAGTAAATAAAACTGCGTTATTTGCAAAGATGATCCACTTCTGAAAACGGATGTTTGCCAATTATTCAGTTCAGTCCATACGTTTCCGATTGAGATCGGGTTTTTCAAGCAAAAACATCGGCTAATAATGTACCCCTTAACGGATATTCAGTCTGCAGAGTACTGATGCGTCAGTTACTGGGGAAATAAACGATAAAGGCTGCTTCAGTGGCAAAAGAGTTGCCAGATCGATGAATGGACATTTACTTTAGAGGAATAGATTTCAAATCCGGTCTTCTCCTACCAGAATGGTCCGTTACGGGGTGCATCTGCAGTCTGAGTTAAGAAAAACTGAACCTGAGACAAAAAACAGGCGCTACCTTGCTGAATTAAGTTGTTAGACGTTCACAGACTCAACTGGGGTTTTTTTCATGCGGGTTTCAACAACATGCACCTCAGATAAGATCAAGGGTGCAGTCGCCTGATCGTTTAAGGTAACTACCACCTAGGTGTCCCCTCGGCGGAAGAGGGTAATAGGAACCGCAGGTAGCGCAGTTGCCTTTGCGCCAAATGCTAGGGAAATTGGGGGTTGGAGTTAGCGTTGAGGTGGGGTAAGGAATATTTAACCTCCCTGAAATGTTGCTTAAGGCAGCGCAAACTACGCTGAAGGCATTGGAATATCCGTGTCCTGTCGAGTGGGCGCATAGCTAATCCACATCCGCTAACGTAGAGTAGCTGGCCTTTTTATCAAACATTAACCGAAATTTTAAGATGTGGTAGAGGGGGCTCTCACCGATCGTTCTTACGGAACTTACTTGTCGCTTTATGTCTCACGGGCTCTCTCTCGAGCCCAACCAGTAGCCACACAGCGGCGCATGATATAAGCAGAATGTTATTACTGACAAAGACAAAGGAGACAGGAACGGCCATCTCCGGCTTATTAGCCGTCGTCAGCCAGTCATAAGATGCGTTTCTTTTTTTATTAAAAAGGATTACTTAGGTGGGGTTGTTGTATTGATTAGCATGGGGCACAGCCCCAAGCTACTTCATTCACGCAATCTGCCACCTTTTGAATGAACTTCTTCCCGGCCTCCTATAAAGACTACATTCGATAAAAGATGATCACTCATGTAGTACAACTTTTTCCATCGACTTTCGATACCCTTATAAAGTTAGCGTAGTTCACAACAAAAAACCTGTCCCACAACATTCCTTCTTCTGCACATTTGACAGAAAACTACGTATTCTAAAAATATGATACTTAAAGGACAAGCATCTTACGGTATAGAATGAGTTTGCAATTAGTAGCATTTTTGAGGCCGTGAAATACGTATTCATACAACGTCATATCTGCAGATGCATCAGTGCTTGACTTTGGAGCACCCCAGCCCGCACTCATTACCTGTCAGAACAGGCAATCCTTGAGCTGGCAGGCGGATCAGAAGTGTCTAACCCAACAGTGCGTGACCGAGCTCATGAAATGTTGGCCGAAATTCTGAAACGCGTTTTTAAAAGGGAAGGACTGCTTGGGTGGGGTTGTAGTAATGAGCATGAGGCATAATCCTGTAATATTTTGGACTCGCTAGGACATCTGCTTTTGAATGCACTTTTTGACTTCCTGCAGAAACCGCACTTGGTAAAAAAAACTGAATACTCAAGTAGGAGACATTTTTCACATTGATTTTCGATGGTCATATAAATTCAAATTTATTTTATAAAAAACATGAACAAAATATGCTTTTTTACTCGTTTGGTAGAAAATCACGTTGTCTTTACATTTTATACCCTAGCAGAGGTTATCTCTCAGTTTTAAAAAAGTTTCTAATTATGACGTTTTTAAGACCGTGCGATGTCCATATATACAGCGTCGCAAATGTCCGTTTATCAGTGCTCTTCATGAAATGTATAGCACAATCCGCATCCATTGCAAAATTTTATGAACTCTATATGATATCTTCCTAAAAACATGAAAGAAGATATGGTTTCCCTTACTCGGGAAGCATGCACCTTGTGGCTTGTAATCGCTAGCCCCTAATACAACGGCTGATCTGGCTCAGATTTTTTCGGGCATTGAGAAGCTTTTTCAAACCATAAGATGCACTTTTCTCAATTATAAAATGTGAATACAACGTGATTTTCTGCCAACCGAGTAGAAGAAAGCATATTTTTATGCATATTTTCTATAAAATATATTTAGTTTTATAAGACCATCGAAAATCAATATGAAAAATACATGCTACCTGAGTAGCCATGTTTTGCCGAGTGTAGTTTCAGCAGCAGAGTGGAAAGAAGTGCAATTAAAAGCCGACATCCTGGAGGGTCCAAAATGCTGTAGGATTATGCTACATGACACTCATTACTACAACCCCATCTACGTAATCCTTCCTTATTGAAAACGATTTTCAGAATTTCGATCAGCATTTCATAAGATCGGTCACTCACTGTATAAGAGCAGGCAAACTCCGTTACCGATGATCAGGATTACTCAAAATAATGCAAAAAATTCAGCGAACTCTATTACAATACACCCGCCACCGTTGACAAAACACTCCCCTTGCGTACTCATCTGGTCTTCGACCACCTGTGCAGACTCCAGATTCGGGCACCCAGACAGGATGGCAGACATGTAATCAGGCCAGATCAGCCAGCGCTATGTTCAGTGCAGTCTAAAAAGGACTTTTTTCCTTTTAAAAAGCCGAGAAGAAAATGCAAGAGTGTAAGTTTGAAAGCATGGAGTTTTGCATGAAGTGATGGGCTGGGATTCATAGAAAGTTTTAATAGCGTGACAGTAGAAAATGAGGTT